ATTTATATTTTATCCTGAGCGACTTAATCACAATGAACTGTGATGATCCTATTTAAATAAGTCTCTCATTTTCTGTATCTGGCTGCATTGAAGGATATTTTGAAGCCAGATTTCCTCTGGGATAATGTATTCGAGCCTTTCCCATACACAGAAAGATACTCCCGATTTCTCAAAATTTGTCTCTCTTCTCCTAACCATTATGCACTGGTAGAATGGGTTGGCTGGGTAAAGTCACGCTTTCGAGCTCTTCTTTTGCATGTAAGTAGCTCAAATGGTAAATTTTGTTTCTCATATAATTAAACTCAATTTTACTTTAGAAGTGACTATGATCCATACCATTCATTATATCACACTGGAGACGCTTCACTATTTATTTGTAAATATTTTTCTTTTACGAGACATGATGCTTTCCCATTTAGACCATAACTATATTAAGGTCACTTTTATGGGCTTGGCATAAATATTTATGTTGTAAAAATATCCTCTGCTGCTGTTAATTTTAATGTTACTTTTGGGAACCTCACTCATAATGATGAATCAATCACGAATGAATTTTGTTGTCATTTCCTCATATAGCTTTGTTTGCTGCAGCTGGAGGCTACTCAAGGATTTTGTGACCCTAACCCTACAGAATATGTTGATAGTGAGAAAACAGAGCCAAATGTAGTTTTCTATTGGGGTTTGAAATCTAACAAGAATAATTTCCTGGACATCGATTCGGTAAAGGGGGAGTTCATGAAGATTATAAAGAATGGCTATGAAGGTTCTCCTGGGAGGATGGAGATGTCCATCCTGTTAGCTTCTCAGCTGCCAAATTGATGATAAGAAAAGGAATCCGGGCTTCCATATTGCCTTGTTTGCAATGTTTCACCAGTTCCAGTGAGGATTATAGTGGCTAGATCTATTTTATTTTGATTTATCTGCTATCTTGTTGTACTATAGACCTGTATATTCTTGTTCCCCTTTCGCCACCTCTTTTTGTCTTCTAACTTCTGTAGGGTCATAGGTTTACTTAGGAACACCAAAAGGATGAGTAGTCTTTTAGTCTTGCAGTAGATGACAGAAATTTTTGAAAAGTCAAAAGAGTTACAAGGGATTGGACATGTAAAGTGAATAAACCTTCTTTTTCCTTTCAAAATATAGAGTTAGATAAATCAATGATTAGTTTGAACTTGGAAATTTATCACTTGCTTGTTTAGTCATAGTATTTCAAGATACTAAGAATTTTAAGACAGATCAATAATATAGCTCTGAAAGAATTAACACATCATATTTATGTGTTTTTAAAGCCATTAATTCTTAATATAGAGTTTGATAAGTGAGCCATTTATTTGGCATGTCAGTAATATGAATTTCTCTAGTGTGTGGTCACATTTCACCTTATTTTCATTAGTTAGGCTATTGAGTTACTTAGTTTTCTTGATTTATTTTCTCAGTATGTTATATTTCCTTTATACTATTTTAGTAGTTTCAGCTACTGTTTGAATATAATGTTTCCTTTATTATCTTTAAGTTATTTTTACATTCCAATATAACTCTAACTAAAAATGTTAGAACAGACATTAAAGGATAAGATAAAAAGTATATTTTGACACGTAACTAGCTTTATTGATTAATTAGAATTCATTATCAATTCATCAGTTAACTGTTTATCCATTATAATTATGAAAATTAATTGCGGTAGAGATTTTTACAGTTTGTTTTAATTTTTCACAATTATTTTGACAAAATATAATATATGTATTGATCATTTTGTTTTCTATATTTGAAATATTAAAGTGAAAATTATTTTTTAATCAAATAAAATAAACATAAATTAAGTATAAAATATACAAAAAATGAAAAAAGCTCTTTATCAACTCGTTTTGGCTGTAGTATGAAAGCTCAGAAGAACATAAACAGGTCACATAATTTATCCCGAGGTATAAATTCTTTGCGTTGTCGGTCATCAATATGGTTTGATGCATATATATTTATATTGCGTCATTAATTAAAAATGTTAATTAACCTATTTTGTTATGAATGTGTTAACTCATCATTGAATATTATCTATATATATATATATATATATAACAAATTTATTTGTTGTTTTCTTTAACTCATTTCACTTAGTAACTTCTGATAAACTCTAAATTCCATTATCAACCATGTAGTGCCTGTTGTTTGCTGACATATGTATGTGAAATTTGAATATATTATAAACAAACGATAAAAATAACATCAGTGGATCTGTGGCGCAATGGTAGCGCGTCTGACTCCAGATCAGAAGGTTGCGTGTTCGATTCACGTCAGGTTCAATTTCCTTTTTACATTTTCTAAACAAGTTATAACGTAAAATGGTTCGGTCCAAACTAAATGAAAAGTTAAGTTTTTAATTATTGAGAAACTTTGGATGTTAATTACAATTAGCAATTGATGATATCACTAATAAGAGAAATCAGCTACTCAATATTTGGCAAAATAGCAAATGCCAAAGAGCATGAGAAATCTTAAAGTTTTCTTCCCTAAAATCATAAACAGGTCTCAACGAAGAGAATACGAAAGGTAAGAAATGTGCAGTTCAAAATTTATATAACAATATTTTTAATGTTCTATAGATCACGTAAACAAGATAAGTGTATATTTCAAATAGTAAATTGATAGAAAAAATTCATAAGCAATGTGATGAAGTTTGATCATGTAATGATTCCAGTAATCAAGTTTCCCCGTATAAGTATAATGATCATAATATTGAAAAAAAAATGAAAAATTATTATCAAACAGAAAGATGATTCCCAAATTTTTATTTTTTTGATGTTTTTTATGAACTAAACCCAACACAATTTATTGAGCAAGAGACAATTATTTATATTTCTTATACTCTAGACTTCACTGCATTATTTATCTTTTGACTCAAAAATAATTAGAAGATATATAAAATAAATATTAAATTTGTCATAGTACTTTGAAAAATGAAATATATATTAATCAACCAGGAGAATATGTAATAAGAGGAAAAGAAAAGAAAATTTATAAATTAAACAAAAATGAGTCCAATAAAGGACTAAGAGTATCGTCAATTGATCTCAATTTTTGTAGTGTCAAAAAGTGAGTATTTTTTGTCAGTTTATCTACTATCGTCCACAGTGCATCCTATCCATGCACACATTTTGACAAATATGTGATAAAATCAATTAAAATGTTGTCTCATTTTCATTGAGAAATATCTTACTGCTGCATCATACCTCTTATATATTATTTTTTATATTCAATTTTAATTTTTTGACATACCAAATAATAATTACACCTTTTTTATAACACATCTCCAAATTATTGTATGAAAATGAAGTGTATAGATATCAAAGCTATTGGAAATTATCGACTTGTGTGTTTCTTATTATGCTAGTGTGATAAAATTGGACGGTCCAAATTTTTTTATGATTTAATGTGCAATTCTTTTAATATGAGCGACTAACATATTATCATATCATAATTTTAAAGTGAATTTGGAATTTCATTTCCAGCGTCCACTCTCAGTTTGTCAAGTACCAAAAAGAAATTTATTAATAGTATATAGCATAAGTCATCATATAATATATTTTCCAAATATTATATGTGGATCCGTGGCGCAATGGTAGCGCGTCTGACTCCAGATCAGAAGGTTGCGTGTTCGATTCACGTCGGGTTCAATTTTCAGTTTTTTTTTTCTTTATAAGTCAAATTTGGTTTATATAAATTAATTTGTAAAATATTTATATATTACGTTAACCTCTTTGAAAAATCATTTTAATTTATAAAAAAAATTATCTATATTACAGATATTTATGAAGAACTATTTGTCTTTGGCAAATGAAAATTCTGCCTATCATAATTAGAGAGCATCAGCATGAGCAAATGTCAAAAAAAGGATTTAAAGAAAATTAATTAAAGAAAATTTATATAAACCAAATTTGACTTAAATTAAGCACAAAATAGATACATGATGAATTCGATTGTAAAAAAAATTAATTAATGTTTTTTCATGATATCATTCCAAAACCCTTTTTATTTAATTGCAATTATATTCTTATTAATTTTTTATTTATGATATCAAGTTTCAATGAATAAAATGAAATAGTATTAATTACCTTTCTTAATTAATCCAACTTTTTGTTTATTTTGGTTATTATTCAAGTTGAGAATACATAATCAGTGCACCCTCCAAGGTAGAGTATTAAAGTTTCTTTCTTTTATTGAAACAATAATTTCATGGCAACAACATGAGAATAGCTTAAATGAGTTAGAACTAACAAGAATTGAAAGTCTCAAGGAGAGAAGCAGACGACAATGTCGGTTATTCTTGTTAACTAGCACATGTCTTTGGTGCCTACTTCATGATTCGGCTTCGATCTTAGAAAAACAGAGAAACATGGGGCTGCTTTGTTTTAATGAATGAAATCTGCTAGCAAAACAGTGGTCGTGTCTGTCTCAGGCCCTCTTTTCTTTCTTTAGTTCCAAAAGAATGGTTCAATGAAGAAAGCATCCTCTAGAAAGTTCTCAAGTTTGGCTTCTTGTGGTAAAGCAGGGGACACAAAAGAACACGTGGCGTTCACCATAAAAGCCAAGAGAATAAGACACCCGTGAACCATTGCCTAAGTCACTTTAAGCAACAGATATATCAGTATTTAACATAAAAAAAAACTGCAACATTTCAATAGCATTGAAGGTCCAACAATCTTATTTTTTAGATGTAGAAATCAATCTAAGGCATTGGCATCTTCTAATGTGCTTTCTTTATATACAAAATCTTGAATATAAAACTTGTGATCACATCTTTATGTTGAAGAAAACTCTGTCAACCACAATAAAGTATGCTTGTAGAACCCTGTTGTTTTACACTAAAATTCTTACATCCACTTCATGTTATTTTTCTCTCTTTTGTTTTACCCTATTAGAAATCCATTTCTCTCTGTTCCCATGTGAGGTATATACTCCCAATGATCATTGTGACCCTAAATATAGGAGCCAAGAAAGAGCCTACACCATCACCACAAGAGAAAATGAAGAGGATCTCAAGTTGTGTGTCTTCTTTTGCAATTCAAATTATTCTTGTAGCTTCTATTTCTGTTCCCTTCACACTATCCCAACCATCTTTCCATGGGGATGGTGACTTGGTAGACCAAATATGCAGAAAAACACCCTTTTACGACCTCTGCAGCTCCATCCTCCACTCAAACCCACTGAGTCCAAAACCTGATCTCAAAGCGGTGGCCCTCTTGATGGTGAACAACATTGTGGCAAATGCAACTGATACACTGAGTTACATCGAGGGCCTCATCAAGCAGACCGGAGACCGTGAGTTGGAGCAAGCCTTGGCCTTCTGTGCCGAGTCATATATCCCTCTTATCAAATACATTCTCCCACAAGCTGCTGATGCTATAAGCCAAGGCCGTTTTGCCTTTGCCAGTTACTGCATTTCTGATGCTCTCAAAGAAGTGAGTAGCTGCGACAAGAAATTCTCTGCCACAACTCAGGCACCCTTGGGGGACAGAAACAACATCGTCCAGAAGCTTGTGGATGTGGCCTCCGCTATAATCAAACTGCTGCTAAAGGGTTGACTTGTTCATCTCTGCTTTGTCTTCCATTGCTTGCAGTTGTAGGTAGTAGCACTTAGAATCGTACTATACTAGCAGTAGGCTCTTGTTATTCTTATTCAGTAAAGGCATTTAGATGGTTGATTTTGCATAGTGTATGCTTCATCGATTCATTGTTTGTGTACTTCGAAGCAGCTCTTGATAAACCATACGATTACTTCTCCACAAAGAAAGTGCTGTGCAACAAGCATATGAATGCAACTCACATTACATAAACCAAAACATTTTCTTTCACTATTTCAGAAGTTTCTTCTTCCACAGATTGAGAGCTGTCACAAGTGTCAATGTTCTATGCTGACAAACTCAGAGCATCCTTCTCTGTTTATTATTATTTAACTTTCAGCCCCTAACTTCTTGTTTGATTGCTAGTCAGTCCTCTCTTTTATTGCACATTAAGAGGGAAATGAATGGAGGAGATTTAGAATGTGCAAGTCAAAAGTTACTTTCTGTTTGATTGATATGCAAATACGGAGAATAAAAACGTACGTTACTCATGAGAATAAGGTCAGTTGGATTGATATCTTTTCTTTCTATAGAAAAAAATAATATTAATATTGTATCTTAAAACACAAATAAATTTTTTATTGCGTTTTATATTTTACAATATCTAACCTTGTGTGGCCATGTAATTGGACCTGAGATAATAATTAGCAAAGGACTTTCCTTCAAACACAGATTGTAGTAATTTGAAATTTTTGGGAAACCAGCTTTATAATATAAAACTGATGAATACAGCTAGCTCATCCTTATTTCTTTCAAAAACAAGTCCAACTATGAGCACTTACTAGAAGCACGTTAAACGTCTCCCATTTGAAGATAAACTTTACTTTATTTCTGTTGTTGGGATCCCATATGAAGCAATTTCACGTGTTTATGCAAATAAAAGTCAAACTGGAATCGCATAAAGAGGGCCACATCTGACACCTTTTTATTATTAATTGAAAGTTAGAGTGCCACACGGCTGAACCAGAATTTTTCTTTCTGAAAAGATAAGTAATTGATGAAGCCCCTTCTGTTGTGTAATATGCTTGTTGTACGTAAAATATTTGTCACAAAAAGCACATGATTACATACCAGTTGTCTTTGTGATAACAAAAGAAACCAGAACAAATAAATAGAATCATTCATTAGCTTGGTCGCGGCTTCAAAAGAATAATCTCCAACTCTCATTGAGAATAAGCAAAAGAAAGTTGCTGACAAGAAAAGTAACACGTGTTTGGCCCAAGGCAATGGAAAATTCTAGCAGCAACGTTCTGGTTATTTAATTCACCCCAACATTGATTAATATACATAATAGGGATAAATTAACAATATATAAATAAATATATGTTCTAAAAGTCAAGACAAAGAGGCTGTAGGAGAAACAATACTACCGTTTGTCATCTTTGGTTTGAATACAGGAAAATTATATTCCTTGTTATGATAGAAGTGCATTATCCTGAACCTCTTCTCCATTTTTCAGGCAAATCTGAACCGACCACCTGCTGTACAAAACTGCAAGGTGTACCATTTTCGAATACCAGCAATGAGCAAAATTGATATTGGGGAAGAAAAATGAACCAGCAATGTGTTTTTATGAGGCTAAAGAAGGGTTCAAATATGATGCATTTGAGCTTACTCGTGAGATTCTGAACCAGGAACATTTGAGTTGCTTGCAGAAGGATTGAGTTGGTACTCAACTGAAATTAGACCTCCCTCTGATTCTACCGTAGACACAGGAGATCCCTGGAAACTTGCCACTGAGCTTGTTCTAGATGGCACGCCTGCAAAACCAACGTCTAATTAAAGAAAATCAAGAAAGCTAAAATGTTGTCACTCGACAGAAAATCAAAGAAACATGACTATTGGGAGTTTTTTTATTCCATCTAATCAACCTCTAACTTAAACAAAAAAGTAATAGATGATTGATTCATGGTGTGTCATGGAATTTATAGACTACACAAACTTCAAGAGGATCAACTATTATCAACATATAGAGAGATGAAGGAAACTGAACAGCTGGGAGCCTTGCTGCATACTAGTAATAAAAAGGAGAAATTTGAACAGTTTCATTCCAGGCAACTGGAATGAGAAAGCAAAATCATGTGACCTTCATTATCTCAGCAACTAGTTGGGCAAAATGTGATTAATTTAGACCAAAAAGAAGCAGATTGATGAAGATCGTGAAAGCATTAAAAGTACATGCAACCATAGTTAAAAGGTAAGTGCTAAAACCTTGTCTGGTTAGCCAGAAGAATAAAATCCATATGCAGTACATAATGTGGAAAAGAAACAAGTTCTGTAGAGTATGTAAAAAAATTTCTAAACAGTTCAGGTTCCACAAGATTTTCAATTAAGTTAACGATTGTCTTGATGTCTGACAGAACCATGTTTTAAATGGAAGTTTTATCACAAAATAGTACGTAAATATCAATCTGAAAATTAGGAATCGCCTGGCTTAGGTAGCAAATGCTAAACCCCTCCTACATGTTGTAAAGTGCATGCTTATAATATAGCCACAGCCGTTACAAATCTACTTTCATCCCAAAAGTTACCTTGGAATATTATCACAACAAAGAAGACAACAGTGAAAACCATAGCCAAAAAGCTGGTACTGGAAGATGATGATGATCGTGATTTAGCAATTTTCATCTTCTTCAAGGCTTTCATTCGCTCTATCCTTGCGCGTTTCAACATGGCAAGTTCAGATATCTCTCTGATTAGCTTAAGGTCAGCTGCATCCAATGAAGGAGCTTGTGGAGATCTTGGAGGTTTCGGAGCCTTCTTATTAGAGGCCTTTTTCCGTTTCTCCTTCGTTGGGGTTTGCAGTGCACGGTTCCCCGAATCTTTCCCCATCAATGGCGTGCTTGTTACTTTCATCAAATCGCCGGAAACTTCACTAAAACTTGATTCGTTGTGGATTAAACTTGGCACATCATCACCTTTGATAGAACCTCCAACAATCCCACCAGAAACCTTAGCAAATAATGTCTTTCCTTGTTTTGCATCACTTGGGACAGAGACTTTCTTTGAATCGTCTCCAATTAGTGGCAATCCACTTTCAAGATCAACTTCGATATTCCTATTTTTTACACTTTTACTATCCATCCAAGAACCACAAAACCAATTTAACTTCTCCTTGCTTGTTATCCTATAAATCACAAATATACTTGAAACTGCCTCCACAAATTCAATGCTTGAACTCAATCCATCATACAAAATGACCTCCTAATCGGATATTATGTACTAAGGGTTTAATTGCTCGTAAATCATCAAGAAGGCAGTTTTCAATACATGTCAACTCCGATTCGGATACCTTTCTCTGCTTCTCTGGCTTTTCCTAACATTACACAGATCCAAGCAATAATTGCCCAGCAAAAGTTTTTCTTTTCCTTCCCAGGGTCTATTTTCCACAAGCAATACCACTCTTTCAAGATCTAAAGATAAAAGAATGTAATCCCAGGAACAGACAGACCCTGCATCATAAATTAGAGACAAAAATTCAATCAGCTGAACCTAACCAAATTAGCAATCTTACTATAATGATACACCTTTAAGCAACCGAAATCCCCGATTCAAACTTTTAAACAGAACAGACAAAGAAACAATCATTGAGATAAAAAAAAACATAAAAAGCTTTAGGGCACAAAAAAAGGTGGAGGAAATCTAAGCAAGGGAAATACACGAATGGTTCTCAGGCAGGAAAGAAGCAACGGCAACACAACAAATTATCCCCAGAAAGATTATATTCATACATTAATACCCACCCACATTACATATACATATACATATAAACTTACACCGCAACGTGCGACCACATATGATTAAAAATGGGCACCCATGAAAACGAAGAAAGTCAACAACTTTAAAGTAGTCACAGCCATGGCAACATAAATAATATAATAGAAAGAAGTAAACAGAAGAAAAAGAAAGTGGAAATAATACCTTTACCTGAAGGGGAAGGAAGGATAGATCCAATGGCGGAAGAGTTTGTAATTACAGAGAGCGAGAGATAAGGTATGAGAAAATACAACAGATAGCGAAAGAATAGGGAAAAGGAGCCAAAATTACAGCAAAATTAAGATTTGTTCAAACAAAAATCTCCCTCTGTTGATTTCATGTATGTGCTGTCTTCAAAAACTGTGTATTTATAGAGCGGAGATTGAGGAGGTGATGTAACCATTATAGACAACACTTGTAGACAGTTGGCAACTCCAAATTTCACAGTGGCCCCTCCTATGTACTGTTTTCTGTCCTTTTTCTTTACACTTTTTCGCCATTCGTGCTTCCCTCTTTTATGCCATTCAACGTTACAAAGTTTATAATAACAATATTCTATTTAATCAGCTCAATTGGATTCCATTCTCTTCGTTAGAATGTGTTACACTTTGTTCATACAAATGTGTATAAACTTTTCCATAAAAAAAATTAAAATTTTATTTAATTAAGTAGGCTATCCCTCAAAACATGTTAGACCGGATTTTGAAAGGTTTGAGTTTAACTTTCATCAAAAAAATAAATTATTGACATTTACCGTAGATATTTTTTAAATGTTCCATATGTATGCGCGAAAGTTTTTAGGTTTAATAGATTAGTTTTATAATTTGTTTATACTATCATGATATATAGTATATCTATTATATATACATAATTACAATTATATATAATATGACATAATAAATTAGTTATTTAAAAACTTATTCAAAATAAAATAAAATTATTTTCGAGTTTCACAATTATATAAATGTACATGTTTAATAATTAAAAAAGTGAAATAATTTCATCATTAATATTTATAAATGACAAGATGTGACCCAATTAAACTTTTATAATTATAATTATAGTTATATATATATATATATATATATATATATATATATATATATATATATATATATATATATATATATATATTAAATAGACTGCTTAATTGGATGTAGTTTCTTTAATAATTCTGAGCACAATCTTTTTAACGAAATATATAT